GGGAAATGTGTGTGATTGGAATAAAATATTCCAGAAAAGCACCCGGCTGGCTGGCTGTAGGCCTTGTTGTAAAAGGAATAACAATTGACTAACTATTTTAGAATAAGAAAATATAACAGTCTCCTGCCTGCCTATCTGTCCGTCTTTCTAGTTTGTGAAAAGGTGTATTTATTTGGTTTAGGAAAAAAAGGGAAAGAATAATGTCATGAAGAAAGGTGAACCATTCATGGTAGCAACAGAAGAATTGGGGCCTTTCCTGCTGTGTGTCACAGACTGCATAGCATGGGATAGAAGTAGAACTGGAAGGGGTCCATAAGGCCATCTAGTCCAACTCACTGCTCTGCTTCCACATGTGGTCACCCATCCAGCAGGAGGCCCTCACCTTTCCAGCTTAGCAAAGGTGACTTGACATGCTAGCTTGATGCATAGCTATGCAGGCATTAGGGGAATAGTGGGGTGGAAGGTCCAGAGTAGTACCAGAGTTCTTTGCCTCCTTCCAAGCCAATCAGGACAAAGGCTTTCTAACAGAGGACTTACTACGTTAAAGTTGAATGGGTAGGCTTTGTAATAAAAAAGAAAGGTATTGCTGAAGCAAATAACAAAGGGAATTAAAAAAAAGTTAGAGTGCTGTCTCTTAGGGGCTTGAGCCTTAATCATCTGAAGTTGACTCCCAACTGAATATTCTCCTCGCTTCCAACCAGAATGAACTGACTCTACCTTCAGGCTGGATTGCTTCTTCTCAGCCAACTGCCTGAAGCACCTGTTTCTCACTGGGTTTACCATTTTTACTTGATGCTGAATGATCAGAGTAATCACGTTAGGACTGTTTCCGACATCAGTGTGTGCATGAACTTCTCCCATGGGGACAGAAGTTGTCTGATTCTGGTTCTGCTGGTCTTGGCGGCTCAAATGAGAATACCAGTCCGTCATCCTCCTCTACTTCTGTATCAGACCGCAAGTGAACATCATTTGAGGATAGGATTATAGGAGTGGAACCCATTCCTACCATAGTGGTACTTGCCCTCAATTGCTGGCTGGCACTGCGACATCCACTATAGCTGATCACCTCAGAATAGATGAGATGGCTATTTGTGACACACCAAAGAAGAGCAGGGGACAGCAATTTGCATAACAAACACATGCATTTGTTCCCATGTATAAATGCAAATTTAGATGTCATTCATATAATCTAAAGTATTCTATAGGTCCCCGTCCCCTATATTTATTCATGTGTGCATATATTTTCCCTTTCTTAGTGCTTGAAGGTGTATGGATTACTGACATTTAAGGTCCCGGCACATTGTAAGAGTGCCAGCCTTACCTTGGAATATTGCCACCCACTGCAGGGCTATTCAACACTCCCCCATGCCTGCCTGTCTGCTTTTCTTCCTTCCTTTTGTTTCCAATTCTTTCCTGGGAAAAGAGAAAGAGAGATGGGAAGCAATTTTGCAGTGTTCCTCCTCCTCCTGTTTCTGCTGCCATTACCTACACAGGGCAGTAGTCTTCCATGTGAGGAGCTTCTCAAAGACTATATACTCTGGGCTGACCTGCCCAGTTTCACTTGAAAGAAAGTTGTTGCCTATCACTTTTAGCACCTGGGCAGCAGGCTGAGCAGGCTGGCACAGGGGGCACCTGGTCACAGCCCTCCCCATGATTGTGAGGTGGCCTGTATTTCTTGGCATTGCCTGGGTATGTTTTGTACTGATGACAAGTCTGTGTTTGGCCCAAAGACTTATAGAAGAGGCAGGTTTTGTGGGGATCTGGAGGGAGAGAGATAAAAGGGGCACCACAGTAAAAGCTATTGGCCAGAATTCTGCATTTAAGGGCAGAATATTATGGCGGACAAATAAGACATCAATACAATGGATAGTTTTGACGGTAGGGTTTTTTAAAATAGTTTTATGCACACATGATATATACATATATACACAATGTGCACACGCATATGTGCAACATTGTCTGGTCTACTGGTAATTTTCCCTGCAACACAAAATAAATGTTTCTTCTTTGCTTCCTTGGTTTCAGTTGAGTATAGTCCAAGTCCTACTCCTCTTATCACAGTGACGCATAAGCCAGAAGAGGACACATTTGGGGTAAGATCTGTGGGATCGGTGGTGGGGAATGTGGCTTGTTGTGGGTTGGGGTGCTTGTTCTGTGGAGGCATGAGGGAATGCTCTTTCCCACCATAGTTCCTACACTCCTTGCCTGGACTCCATCCTGATCTTCTGGTCTCTATAGGAAACCTGCCACAGTGTAAACCCTTCTCTGATTCTCAAGTCAGATCATCATGTCCAGCATTATGCTTTGCTAGTAATTTGTTTTTTGTAACCTCCCCTGGATATTTATTGAAGCGTTGCATAGAAATATTTAGAATCAACTTTTTATTCTTTATGGATTTAAAACTTTTCTATACTGTCCCGTCCTTAGACATCTCAGGACAGGTTACAGCAAATTTTCCAACCATGTGCATACTGGAAGTAGCATGCATGATCCTCAGACAAGGGCTTTGCTAGCTAGGGTGGGAATATTAATAGAATCAGGAAGTTTAACTGGGCTCATCCAATCCAACCCCTTTCTCAATTCAGGCTTTCCACCGCAGGGTATAGCATCCCTGTCAGCCTTCGCGTAAGTGCACATGACACAGGAGAAGATGTCACCTCCTGGGGAAGTCTCTTCAACTGCTTTCATAGCTCTCCCTTCTCCTTTTCCCTGCCATTTTCACCTTTTGGTTCTAATCCTACCTTCTTTGTCACTGTGAGGTTGCTCTGTCTTCTGCATGATGATCATTTTGTTGGTTAATGATTGCGATCATATTTCAGCTTAATCATCCCTTAATGCTAAACATATCCAGCTCTTTCTAATTGTTCCTCATAGGACTTAATTATCAGATCCCTTACGATCCTAGTGGCTGTCTTCTGGACATAGGCCAACAAGTTAATGTCCTTCTTAAAATAGGGGTGCGGTACTGGGCATAGTACTCCAAATGAAGCCTCACTAGTGGCTGGATTCCAGTTATCTGGAGACTGTATGTTTGTTAATGCAGACCAAGTTTGCCGTAGTGCCTTATGTGTTGCAACATGCTGTCTCATGCCTAGCTAGTGACCCACTAGGATACCTCAGTCCCTTTCAGAAGAACTGTTGCCAAACCAAGTCTCTCTCATCCTGTCATGAGCCATCCTCATTCCTTCTGGGTTCAAACTCAAGGCAATCCTTTGAAGTGCAGTTCTCTTATTGAAATTTAACAGATCGCAGAACCATGTGAATTCTAAATAGCCTTCTACCAAAATGCCCATGTAAAGAATTGAATCCAAACTAGAAACATCCCTTTCCTTTCAGCAATCTTGCCATCTCGAAATTTGATATAGAAACCTGCTTCACTTTCATCCAAGTCATTTATAAAATGTTGAACAACATCAGGACTAGGACAGAGACCTGTGCCTGTCTACTTGAGACCTCCCATCCTGGAGCATATCAGGCCATTAATTAGCACTTACTAAATATATGAGAAGCTCAACCAACTATGGATGCACCTGACTGTTGTATTGTCCAGCCTACATTTCATCACCTTATCTATAAGACTATTGTGGGGAGCCTTGTCAAATACATGGCTGAAATCAGGATATACTATGTCTGCAACATTCCCATGATCTACCAAACTAGTGACTCTGACAGTGAAGGACTGTTTTGGTATGCTTGGGTGGTTGTTACGTTCCAGCAAGTAATTGCCAACATGGTAACTCAATGAACGAAAGCCCTCCAAGATGTCCTAGCCATGACAATCCCGCTCAGCTCTTCTAAATGCAAGGCTGTGGCTTCCTTTATGGAGTCAACCCATCTCATATTTGGTCTTCCTTTTCTTCTTCTGCCTGTGACTTTCCCTAGTGCAATTATTTTCTCCAGTAAGTTTTGCTTTCCCACGATGTGCCCAAAGTGTGACGGTCTCAGCTTTGCCATTTTTGCTTCTAGGGAAAATTCTGGCTTGATGTTATCTAGGGCCAAATGTTTGTCTTTCTCTCTGTTTAGGGTGTATGTAGGGCTCTCTTCCAGCACCATGTTTCAAATACATTTCTTTCTGTAAGCTTCCTTCATTGTCCATCTTTCATATTCATATATAGTGATCAGGAATACAATTGTATGGATGATCTTGACATACTTTACTCCTGACAAACCCATGTACTCTCCTTGTAATTGATGCATTATTTTCTAGAGGGGCACAGACACACCACATAACCATCTGTTCAAGAACTGCCTGGTATTGACATCAGCGTGACTGGTCTGAAGTTTCCTGGACCTATCTTCTAGAAGATGGGGACAACATTTGCCCATCTCCAGTCTTTCAACACCTCAGTTTCTTTCTCAGGATTATGGAAGGTTACAGACGGGCTCTGAAATAACATTTGCAAGCCCCATTAACACCTGCCTTTTGAAACTTAAACTTATTTAACATAGCTAAACATCATCCAACCATGTTTTCACTTATTCTGAGTTGCACATCCCTCCACATATCCTTTTCTGTGTGTCTCAGGTTGATGGAGGTTGTAGTCCAAGATATCCCATTGTCCAATTTCTTTAAGGAGCATATGCATAAAATAAAATAAATAAAATAATGAAATTAAAATAAAAAGTTGCTATGTGTGCATGCATACATTCCCACCTAAGCATCATTCCTATGATTTCCAATGTCCAGGGAAGGTGACTGGTTAATGTAGCCCGAGCATCTCCACTCATGAAAAAGATGGCAGTAGATCCACAGACCCAGGGGAACCTAAAGATCTGAAGGAGTGTATGCATATTTTAAGTGGGGGATCTCTGGGGGGATGTAAGAACAGTCAACAGTATGAAATACTTCCTGACTATGCTATGGAGAGAGAAGGAGGGAGGGGAGCATGGAATCCTGAGCAGTGAGCACTCCCCATTACATGTTGTTTCAGGTCCCGCATACAGTCTTTTGATGCAAAAGAGAACAATTCAGAATCCACAAACTTCAAGGGAGCCAGGTGTCTGGGGCAGTTGGAAGTAGAAGGTGGAATCCAGTTGGGATGGAAATAAAATGAGATCCATCACCCTTTAAAGCCATTTATGTCATTTGCATAACTCCTTCTGTGAGAGCAATTAAATGGAAGCAATTGAATGAGTAAAACAGTGATGCACCTCCTTGAACCCTCTCCCATGTTTCACAAGTATATTTGAAGTGTGATTGAGCCCTGAAGCAGCTTATTTTTGCTTCTGGATTGATTAGCAAATCGCCTAGATTAGTAAGAGCAGCATAAATGTTGGAATGTGTAAATCCATCAAGCTTGGTTTCTCTCATATTCCTATTTTCCCAGTGCTACATTTATACCATCTTGATTCTGTATTGCGTATCGTGTGTGTGCGTGTTTAATTACAATTATTGTTTTAGTCCACATAAACATTCCTATATATTTTTACATATACATTTTGAGTAAGCAGTTCCCCCCCTAAGTGTGCGTGAGTTTTTGTGCATACTTTGAAAATGTAAACATTGTTGCTCTTGACTAAAACATTTTGTTTGCATTTTAGCAAATATACATATTTCTACATGCATATTTTTTAAAAAGATAGTGGGTTTTTTTTTTCAAAAAAAAAGTGTACTTTTTGCTTTCTTTTTAAGATCAGCACTGTAAACCATAGAACTGTAGAGATTTTGACAGCAAACTGATCTCTGGTCCATCTTTAGATTCAGGGAGTGTGCGCTCAGTAAATTCACACTGAAAGGTGAACCAAATGAATTTCTTACTCATCCCTGTATAGCGAATAAAAGGTGGGTGTAGAAGGTCCCCAAATATGTATATAAAATATTGCAGTGGGGATGATTTTAAGACAGGACATATATGTAGAAGGAAGGAATGTGCGTGTAACCTCATGAAGGTGCTTCAGACTTAGGAGGGCGGATTCTCCATTCTCTGATTTATCTAGTCAAGAGCTATGTGAGCACAAGGCATGAATGAAACTCCCTTACTTAATTGTGTAGATCTTTCTTTTTGCCTTCATTAGTGCACAGCGAATGTCTCTGCAACTCATGTGCTGGCTTCACATGCCTTCTTCCTATTTGCTAAGTCGAGTCCAGCAAACAATAATGAACTTGGCCTCCACAGCTCAAGGAATGGTAACTGAAGGGTCGCTTGTGGAGCTGCCACATCTCTCTCTTTCTCTCCCTCCCTGCCTCCCTCCCTGTAGCTTTTCCCAGAGAGTGAAATATGGTTGTTGCCAAGGGGTGGAAGCAAAGAATATGAGTTTCTCTGTGTGTGCATGTTTCTGCAACAATCAGGCAGAGTGAGGTGAATGCCTCAGGCACCTAGTTTTAGGTATCATGAAGGAGCAGTAAATGGCTATTCAGCCCCTCCCACACCTTTTTTGCATTTTTACTCCCAGGGAGAGGCATGTGTGTGATTTTCTGTCTAAGGAGCCTCAAGTAACTTGAGCACCATTGGGCAAATCAAGCCCTGATCAGGGGCAAAGAGAGCTATTTGTTCTAAATCAGGCATTCAAAAGCCTGGGGCAACCCTTGAATATCTTTCCCAAAAGCAGGGTGGCTAAGCAGAGCAGTCTACATTAATAAAGACAGTGATTTGAAGAGCAAGGTGTTTCAAGGCATTGGTAGAAAAAGGCTTTAAAAATTGTTGGGTGGTTAATCCTGGATGGTTTTAATTACATATTTGATTTGACAGGTTTTTTAAATAGTTTGGCCTGTTTTAAGGGCATTTCATCAAATATATCAAACATATTTCCAATTAAAGACATTTTAGTTGACTTTTTGCATGGTTTTAAGTCACTTTGTTAAACTCTGCATACATTTGCATATGTAAAAAACAAATTGTTGCAAAGGATAAACAAAGCAAATGCAAAACCATTTTTTTGTCTTGAGAAGAAGCACCCTGTGCAGCAGCATGGATCTTTGTGAAAGTCATTTCCCCCATTTCTTATATCGTAAGTGATGCTTTGTCTGACATAAGACTGCACTTCTCACCTGCAGTTTTCTGATACTGAAGGAAGTATTCAAATTTGCTGCCCAAGTAATCAGAGTCTCATGTTTAGTCAACAGAAGTAAGACTGGATAAACCAATTCATCTAACTTATTAATCAACTAAACGCTGAACCCTACATTTGTTTATTTAATGAAAGCCACCCTGGGCATATTTTTTGGATCACAAGGAACATTAGAAGTTAATCACATCAGTAATAATGCAAAAGACAAGTGACACCTGCTACAAAATATTCCAGCAGAAAATGTTCCAGTGTTCCCACAGTGCTCTCTTCCAAGATGCTCCATTGCATTCATGGTCTTCCAAGGCAACTTGAGCATGTTCAGTCCTCATTCAACTATTGGAGAGGATTACCCTATTACTTAAAAAAAAATACATTACCTTCACCATCTCTTGTTTTCCATTTTGCAAAGAACTTCCTTACTTCTTCCCCCTCTCCAAGTCTCTCATGAAAGCCCACCAATTCATTGAAGCCTTCCTTAAAACTCAGGTCACCTTTCCTGTTTTTAGTAAAGTCTTAGGGCCATTTGTATAGTCTTCAGAATCTGGTGGTCAATCAGTTCCAGGATTGTACCAATTCAAACAGTGGAGGAGGGTGGGAGATTTATATTAATGCTCCCATGGGAAATACACTCCCCCTGCATAGTAATATGCATCAGAGAGAACTTTTTTTTTTTTGCTATTGTGTGCATGTTTTCTGTGCAGGGTCCATTCCATGTAGGGATAAATTCTACAAAACAACCACTTCCCTCTCCCTCTCCCTCTCCCTCTCTCTCCCTCTCTCTCTCTCTCTCTCTTGCTGCCTGTAGTCAAAAAGAAATGCAGAAAATGTCTAGGCAGATTTGATGAAGCACAACATGTATAAAGAAAAGCATAAAGATAAACCAGGACAGGATAAGGCACCAGCCTGCAAGGAACAAAACATCTCTTTATTTTATGTGATATGTATTTCATTTTTAGAGAAATATGGATTTTTTTATTTTAACAAGTCAAACTACTTGCATGAAGGAATATGCTACATGCATATGCCCCCAAATACAGGCTGAATAACCCTTGGGAGAAAGTTTTCCATGTGCTGAAAAGCCAGGAATAAATGCTGTCAATATGTACAGGAATGGTTGCTGCCCCCAGCAAAGCTCTCGGCTTTTAACTCACCATTTCTCTCACCTTTTCTCTTGCTTTACATATGGGTTGTCCTTGCTCTTCTCCCTTCCCTCCTACTGATTAGTGATAAATTTGATAATCTTGTGCTTTATCAGGTTTTATAGTTTTATCTTGTTACAGTTTTATGGTTTCTGCTGCTGTCTGCAGGTTTTGTGAGCTGCCCAAAGAGCCTTTGGTCTTTGGGGTGGCATACAAATGTTAGAAATGAATACACAAATCTTTACTGAATGTGTACCTGCTTACCAAATGCTTAAGACAGGAACAGAGCTGCACTTTGAAAAATGCAGAGGAAAGTGTGTTCACCAGGGAAACATGTGAAACAATAAATCCATCTACCCCAGAAAAGGACAAACAAAAATGGATGCAAGAATGAAAATAATGCTCAGAGATGTATCATTAGAGGGGAAAGATTAAGCAAAACGGGTGCACCAAATAGGGGTAATACCCTGCTCTGTTTCCTGGTCCCCTGTGAGTCCAGTCTGACTCATAGCTGGATGCCTTGGTGAGCTGGATAAAGGCTGGTATACTTAAGCAAGACAGAGGTGATATGACTGAGTGAGAAGTGGTTCCCAGGTCCAGGAGATAGGTAGGCTACCTGTTCTCGGAGGGGATACCCTTTCTGAAGGATCAGGTGCACTCATTTTTGTTGCCAGATGCCCAGGTAGCTTTGCTGAACCACGCTGTCTTTTACAGCTTTTTCTGATATGAGAGTTGTGGCCGTTCAGGCATGGATAATATCAGAATGGATCATAGGACTGTACTTGATGTACGACTGCCCTTAAGACTGGACTGGAGGTTGCAGTGAGTGCAGAAGACTTTGGCTAGGCTGTTGAGTGACGCAGCCTTTTGTTAGCCCATTGCACTGGCTACTGTTGGGCAAAGAGCCCAATATCAGGTTTTCTTAGTATACGAAGATCTAAACCATGTAGACATATGCCAGCTTTCTTACACTGCCATGCAAAAGCTGAAAACCCATTTGCTTACACAAGCTGTTGTTGTGAAGCCTAGCCCACCTTCTTATGTATCCATTGTTGTTATTTTTGTGATTTGGGTACACAGCTTTGGCATCTTCAGACAGCAGCAGTTTAAAAATACAAATAAATAAATAAATGGTTGTCATCTGACTGTTCCACAAAGATTTCCCTGGCTATGCTTCTGCTCTGTTGCAGTTACAATATCACAGCAAAAAGAATGTTTGGAATGCTAAATGTAATCCATGCAATTACATTAATCATTATTAATTATTATTGCTCTTAATCTGTATTCTATATTATTGTTACTTTTAATATAATAATACTACATGATGATGATATACAAACTTTTGTAACTGAGAATAAGTTCCACTTAACTTGGGCTTTTTTGGGAATAAAGTAAGTATAGAATACTGCTGACTGACTTCTAACTGGGAAGCAGCATGGTTGTGGGGGCGGTCCCACTTATAATATATAAAGTAGAGTGGCAGTAGCCTTTAGTGTTGTAACACTACTACTAAATTATTCTCTAACATCCAGGATGTCCCTTACAGGTATCCATAGCTGTGGGACTTGCAGCTTTTGCCTGTGTGCTTCTGGTGGTCCTCTTTATTATGATCAACAAATATGGCCGGCGATCAAAGTTTGGAATGAAAGGTACAATTTTTAATCTCTATCTGCCCATCCTCTCAATCAATTCTATGATGGAGATGCATGTGGAGGGGGCGGGGTATTTTCATTAACGCTTTGTAAGCAGTTGGACATTGGTTCTCTGTTTACATGTGTGTCACATCAGGAATATGATGGTGTGTTGGAAGCAAGCTTTGCGTTGTGATAAAAATTAACAGCTCTTGGGGAGTGGAAGAAGCTGGATGGTTTATGTGTATTTTCATTTATGGATCCTTACGGTTTATTCGTGATCGGCTTGAAATGTACTCTTGGATGGCTTTCAGTTTTCCAGGTTGCTTAATTAAAGATGAACAAAGGGTGATTCCTTGAGTTCAGGCCAATGTGAATTGAATGCATACCTGCTCTGGGTACTGATTTGCAGAGTGTTGCCCAGCTCACCTTGGAACTTCTGCCGTTCTTGTCGACCCTTGAGGCTGCTTTGGAGCCAGGCCTGCCACATACACACACCCCGAATACCAAAGCAATGGCCAGGTGTCCAGAATGACACCATGATCAGAAGCCCATTGGATATGATGGATGAATGAAGAGGGTTTCATCCATCAGAAAACATGAGAAACAGTGGGATGCAGCAGCTTGGATTAGAGCCATGTGAAACACTTTCAGCCTGCCATGTTTTTGGCAATCCAAAAGTGCGTATAGTCAAGGCGATGGTCTTCCCAGTGGCAATGTATGGCTGTGAAAGCTGGACCATAAGGAAGGCTGAGAGCCGAAGAATTGGGGCCTTTGAATTGTGGCGCTGGTGGAGACTCCTGTGAGTCCCTTGGATTGCAAGGAAATCAAACTGGTCAGTCTTAGAGGAGGTCAACCCTGGCTGCTCTTTAGAAGGCCAGATACTGAAGATGAAACTCAAATACTTTGGCCACCTAATGAGAAGGAAGGACTCACTGGAGAAGACCCTGATGCTGGGAACAATCGATGGCAAAAGAAGACGGGGACGGCAGAGGATGAGATAGCTAGATGGAGTCACTGAAGCAGTTGGTGTGAGCTTAAGTGGTCTCTGGGGGATGGTGGAGGACAGGACGCCTGGAGGAATGTTGTCCATGGGGTCATGATGGGTCAGACACAACTTCGTGACTAACAACAACAGGGTTTCAGAGGCAAACTGAATGCCTCAGTGAAAGACGGAGGAGGGATTCCGTTTACCTTTTAAATGGAAAGGTAGAGCTTAAAGCCCTGTTTTTGCTTTCAGCAGCATGGTTGCATAGAGGCTTTCAGACAGCACTTGAATGCTCAGGAAATGGTATGGCATCATGCAGTCCCATGAGCATCCTGGGAAGCAACAGTAGCAACATTCTTCTTTGCTAGGAGCCCTGTTACCCAGTAATTGCAAACAGAGCTTTAAAAATAAGGGACGGACGGACGGACGGACGAACGAACGAACGAAAGAAAGAAAGAAAGAAAGAAAGAAAAGAAAGAAAGAGGGGAAGGGAAGGGACCTGTCTGATACATAAAACATAAATGAACCCCCTCCTGCTGAGAAATTTTATCAAAATTCCCCCCTCCCTGCAAAAGAGAAGAATTATTGCCTCTTTTACAAGGAGGGAGGAACTTGAGAACATGGTGCATCTGTGATTATTTAGCTTAAACCATGAGTAGGAGGGGACCTGGCAGGCATAAGCATGGTGTGGAAAGAATGAGCAAGGAGGCATCTGTCTCTTTCTGTTGTGACACTAGAACCTGAGATCATGATTGGTGCAAAATTCAGGATAGATAAAAGGAAGGACTTCTTTGCACAGCACATAGCTGAACTATGGAAATTGACACAGGGTGTTGAGATGGCTGGTGGTTCGAATGGCTCTCAAGGGCATTGGACTAACTTTTTCAGGAGAAGGTTACCAGTGGCGATTGGTCTTAATGGTGGTTGACTCCCTCTAGTGTCAGAGAGCGTGTGCCTGTGTGCACCAGCTGCTGGGGGTTGGGGTAGTGGGTGCTGTTGCACTTGGGTCCTCCTTTTGGGTGGCTTGTTGGCCACTGTGTGAAGCTGATTTTGGATGGGATAGATCCTTGGTCTGAACCAGCAGGGCTCTTCTTAAAGTCTTATGTTCATTACCTTAGATAGGTCTACACAGGCAACTTGTTGCAGTAAGGGGCAAGAACTCTAATTCCTATCATCCCAGTTGAACCAGGCATCTCTATCCCAAGATGTGCCCTCTTCCTGAAGGGTAGAAATTGTTAAAAGGATGAAATTCTGTTGTAAACCATCTTGAGATGTGCTGATACAGATGGGTTATACCCATTTTACATACATACATTCATACCTACATATATACATATATAATCTCTCAGGAAAATGCCACACAGGGGTTACTGTCTCTGAGCATCCCCATTTGTGGCTCTGTGGTGGTGACAGTGTGAGATATGCAATGCTTTTCTTCACTGGAGTGTTGACAGAACACATGAATGGGTTCTCTGTCTCTAGCACTGCCCAGGAACTCCTGGATACACACGTGTGTGCTTGGTCCTGTGGATGCCAATGGAAGCCCACACCAGGTGCGAGGCATGCTAGGGTATTCCAGGAGCAACCTTGCAGTATTTGTGCGTGGTGGGGGTGGGGTGGGGTGGGGGATATTTACACAGTATGTGTCTTTTAACAAGGGAAAAACCATTTTCCTTTTGATAAGCTCTTCAACCAACCTCCATTGTCGTCTCCACTGCTTCTCTCATAAATCAGACACATAAATGTCTTTCTGCAGAGTTAATTCTTTTTCTTTTTTAGAGACCTTTTATCAGTAAGGCTGTTAAGGAGAATCTGCAGTACATGAAGGTGCTTCAAACCTAGGAGGGCGGATTCTCCATTCTCTGATTTATCTAGTCAAGAGCTCTGTGAGCACAAGGCATGAATGAAACTCCCTTACTTAATTGCGTAGATCTTTCTTTTTGCCTTCATTAGTGCACAGCGAATGTCTCTGCAACTCATGTGCTGGCTTCCCATGCCTTCTTCCTATTTGCTAAGTTGAGACCAGCTAACAATAATGAACTTACCCTCTGCAGCTCAAGGAATGGTAAATGAAGGATCACTTGTGGAGCTGCCCCCCTTTCTCAATTACATTTATATCCTGCTTTTGTCTTCTTACATAGAACCGATATGGTCTCCCTTTATTCTCATAACTCTGTGAGGGGAATGTACGGATTGGGTCCATTGTTTCTTCCTTCAAGGAGTGCAGAAACAGATTCTGAGCCAGATGAAGAGGAGGGTTGGAAGCTTCTGCTGAGATGGCAGGGCTGGAGGATGCAGAACTAACCTTGGTACTCCTTGGAAATCAATTGGTTTCAGATGCTGTGAGGAAGCATCCTCATGAGGAGAAGGGCAGCTCAAACATCACTGATCGCATGGTCTGATACCAGCAAGGGAAGGCAGAGCACCTGGGAGGTGTGAGGTGCTCCAAATACCTGGCCCTTAGGCAAGAGGGCCTGCCTTGGTGGTGTGCATTTGCAATTTGAGCTTGGAAGGGAGGAGGTGGATTCAGTCTGAATCAACTTATCAACAATAGGCTATACTTCCTTAACAGCTGGTATTCTAACTATGCCTGTTTCTCCTATGGCTGAATTCTGCAGTACACTTCATTTATTCTTTTAAGGCACTCTGGTTGGCTTGCATTAACTTAATAAACTTTTTAGATAATAACCCTGCAGCAATCACTCTTTCTCTCTCTCACTCATTCGCACACATGCACACGCTCACAAAAACCCTTGGACAGTACCACATCATGATGTAGCATTAGTCCAAGGGTAGCGTTGTGGGAAGAAATGATGGCTACCAAGTTGCCAAGTGGAAAGGAAATTCTGATCTCTCCATCACTATAATATTTCCCTTTCCCCTGAAAAACGAATAGAATCCCCAGAATTCTGAGTACACTGGCTAATTGTCCAGAAAATCTTTCACGTGAAATTTAGAGTTAGCCTGCAGAGTCTTGAACAGTATGGGATGAAAAGGATCACTTCATTTTATCTGATGTAGTCATAGAAACAGAGCAAGTCAGAAGGGGTCTTCTGGGCCATTTAGTCTGACCCCTAGCTCCAGCTGGCTCCACTCATAACATGCCTACCATGCTACAGCACCAGTCCCTCCCATGGCCTAAGATGGCATGCAGGGAAACATAGAAACATAGATACAGAGCGAGTCAGAAGGGGGTCTCCCGCGCCATCTAGTCTGACCTCCAGCTCCAGCTGGCTCCACTTACGACATGCACATCATGTGCATGTCCAGCCTATCCTTGAACACCTTCACTTATGTACTATTGTATTTCAATGTATTTTATCATGTTGTAAGCCGCCCCAAGGTTTCGGCAAGGGGTGGCATAGAAATGTTATAATAATAATAATAATAATAATAATAATAATAATAATAATAATAATAATGGGGCCTTAACCACTTCCTGTGGAAGCCTATTCCATACCCTTGGGGTCCTAACTGTCAGGAAGTGCTTCCTGGCATCCAAATTGAACTTTGGTTCCCAGAGCTTTGCTCCACTGGAACACATCCTGCCCTCCTCTGCAGGGGAAAAGAGGCCTCCACTCACCTCCACATGACACTCCTTCACATACCTATATGTCACCAACAAATCCTGTCAGAGCCTTCTCTTCTCCAGACTGAAAAGAACCAGTTCCCTCAGTCTTGCCTCATACGATTTTTCCTGAAATCTGAACACCATCCTTGTGGCCCAACACTGCACTGACTCTAACCTGGCTGTATCCTTCCTGTAATGTGGAGCCCAGCACTGAACACAACGCTCCAGTTCCAGGTCCACCAGAGTCACATAGAGTGGCTTTAATACCTCTCTCCATCTAGAAGCCACACTTCTGGCTATGCAACCAAGGGTGGCATTCACACTCTTGACCACTATCACATGGCTGACTCATGTTCAGCCTGCAGCCGACCAGCACCCCGAGGTCCCTTTCACAAGTGCTGCTCTCCTGCCACTTGTCCCCTAACCTGTACTTATGACACCCATTCCGATGCCCTAAGT